TGCACTCCAGTCTGGGCGACAGAGTGAGACTCCAACTCAAAAATAAAATAAAATAAAATGGGGATGTCATGAAGCCTCTTACAGAGTTTGGAGGATGAGATGGAGTGACACATGTTAGCTTTTTGTGGTTGTTGTTGTTGTTTGAGTTGGAGTCTCAGTCCGTCGCCCAGGCTGGAGAGCACTGGCACGCTCATGGCCACTGCAGCTTTGACCTGCTGGGCTCAGGTGACCCTTCCGCCTCAGCCTTCCAAGTAGCCAGAACTACAGGTGCGCGCCACCACATCTGGCTAATTTTTTTTCTTAATTGTAGAGATGAGGTCTCGCCAAGTTGTCCAGGCTGGTCTCGAACTCGTGGGCTCAGGCAGTCCTCTCACCTTGGCCTCCCAAAGTCCTGGGATTATAGGCGTGAGTTACTGCACCTGGCCTGCATGTTAGTTTTAGTATACTAGACCAGTGACTTTCTAAACCTTGCAATTTTTTTTTCTTTTTTTTTTTTTTCTTTTTTTTTTGAGTTGGAGTCTTACTCTTTGTTGCCCAGGCTGGAGTGCAGTGGCATGCTCATGGCCACTGCAGCCTCGACCTGCTGGGCTTAGGCGATCCTTCCACATCAGTCTTCCAAGTAGCTGGAACTACGGATGCACCCCACCATGCCTGGCTAGTTTTTTTGTGATTTGTTGTAGAGATGAGGTCTCACCAAGTTGCTCAGGCTGGTCTTGAACCCCCGGGCTCAGGCAGTCCTCTCATCTCAGCCTCCCAAAGTGCTGGGATTACAGGCTGAGCCACCACGCCTGGCCCTTTGTAATTTTTGTAACAGCTTTATTGAAATATAGCTCCCCTGCCATACAGTTCACCCATGTAAAGTGTGTAATTCAGTGGCTTTTAGCGTAGTCACAGAATTGTGCAGCCAGGTGCACCACAGTTGATGTTAGGACACTTTCAGCAGCCTGAAAAGAGGCCCTCGACTCCTTGGCCATCACCCCCCTATCCTCCTTTGCCCCTCTAGCCCCTGGCAAATACGAGTCTACTCTGCCCTTGTGGGTATGCCTGTTCTGCGTATTTCGCAGAAATGGAATCCTACAGTTTGTGGTCTTCTATGCCTGGCTTCTTTCACTGAGCATACTTTTGTCAAGGTTCATCTGTGGTGTAGTGTGTATCAGTATTTCATTTCTTTCTGTGGCGGAATAATCATCCGTGGTACAGAGGTAGCACGTTTTGCTTATTCACTTATTCATCCACTGGTGAACACCTGGTTTCCACTTTTTGACTCTAAACCTTTAGATTTTTTGCCCTTAGAACCTTTTATTCAAACAACACGGGTCATTTTTGTGGACACTAGTATTTATAATTAAAGCTGCTCTGGCAGTTACAAGGTTAGGAAATGTCCTCCTTTGCCCCAAGGGACTCTGGGGGAGCCCACAGGCCTGTGGAGGACAGATTGAAACCCGCCATTTGCTCACCAACACCGCCTTGCCTGTTTCTTTTTTCCCCGCCTATCCCACTGTGCAGTGGGCCTGTCTTCAGAAGACCACAGCTCATTACTCAAGGCTGGGGTCTGGGGCCCACAGGGGCCGTCAGGTTCTCCCGCTCAGCTGTCTTTTCTCCTCCAGAGAGCGAGAGCTGGCGAGAGCAGCTGGCCCTGATTGCAGGCACAGCAGTCGTGGGTGTGGTGCTGGTCCTGGTGGTCATTGTCATCGCCGTTCTCTGTCTCAGGTAAGTACGCAGAGCACCTGAGCGTCCCGGGAAATCCTGAGGAGATGGCTGCCCGCCTGCGTGCTTCGGGGCGAGCCTTCCTGGGTATCCCCCAGCCTGTTTTCACCTGGACTCTTCTCCAATCTCTTCTCCTCTCTTCCCACAAGGACACAGAGATGTGTGCCTCCGTTTACCTTTTATTTCCTTCCCACTGGCTATAGGAAGCAGAGCAACGGGAGAGAGGCGGAATACTCGGACAAGCACGGACAATATCTCATTGGGCACGGTGGGTTGCCCTAACCTGGCAGAGATATGGGCTGGGGGCAAGAGCTGTGAGCCAGGAACCAGGGCCTCGAGTCCAGCGGGAGTCACTTCTTGGCTAACGGGCCTTGTCTGATTCCTCAGGTACTAAGGTCTACATTGACCCTTTCACTTACGAAGACCCTAATGAGGCTGTGAGGGAATTTGCAAAAGAGATCGATGTCTCCTATGTCAAGATCGAAGAGGTGATTGGTGCAGGTGAGAGGACAGCTGTCTGGGCGCCTGGGAACCCGACAGGGGGGCAGCCGGGAAGGCAGGGCCACTCCGGGCTGGAGGAGAGCTGACCCCCAGCCTCTGCCGAAGGTGAGTTTGGCGAGGTGTGCCGGGGGCGGCTCAAGGCCCCTGGGAAGAAGGAGAGCTGCGTGGCCATCAAGACCCTGAAGGGCGGCTACACGGAGCGGCAGCGGCGCGAGTTCCTGAGTGAGGCCTCCATCATGGGCCAGTTCGAACACCCCAACATCATCCGCCTGGAGGGCGTGGTCACCAACAGCATGCCTGTCATGATCCTCACCGAGTTCATGGAAAACGGCGCCCTGGACTCCTTCCTTCGGGTGAGCCCCTCACCCCTGGCCCCGGCATCCCCCTTGTGCCTGCCACCTGTGGCCAAAGCAGCCAGAAGGCAGAGGCCAGTTGGGCCTAGAACCCAGGACAGACCATGGGTCCCACGTCAGCCACCTCCAGCCTTCTCTCTGGCTGTGTCTGCCTTTTTTTTTCCTTTCAAAAACGATCAAGTTCCTGGGACCAGCCCTGACCCATAGAGCTTAGAGTTATCTCGTCATTCTTTTTTTCTTTTTAAGAGACAGAATTTTGCTCTGTCGCCCAGGCTGGAGTGCAGTGGCATGATCACAGCTCATCCTGGGCTCAAGTGATCCTCCCATATCAGCCTCCTGAGTAGCTGGGACTATGGGCCTGTGCCACCAGGCCCGGTGAATTTCTTTGATTTTTTGTGGAGATGAATTCTCACTACATTCCCCAGGCTGGTCTCAAACTCCCGGCCTCAAGCAGTCCTCCTGCCTCGACTTCCCAAAGCGCTGGGATTACAGGTCTGAGTCATTGTGCCCGACCTGTCATTCTTTCTTTTGACAAATATTGAACGAGTGCCTCCTATGCCCCAGTCACTGTCCCAGGCTCCAGGAATAAAGCCAGACACACAGGAAGTGGGATTTCTGCTCCCGGGGAGCAGTCTGATGGGGAGACTGATGGACAAGTAAACGAAAATTAACAAGTTAACAAATGGGCTTTTTTAAAAAAAGTAAACAATTCATTTCAGATGGGGAAAAAAATCGAACAAGATCATGGAAAAGTATCTGGAGAGGAGGAAGAGTTTATTTTTGTCACTTTGACAGGTTTTGCTGATTTTTATACTTTTGTAAAACTTCATTAGACATCTTTTTTTTGTGTGTGTGAGTTGGAGTCTCACTCTGTCGCCCAGATGGAGTGCAGTGGCACTCTCCTGGCCACCACAGCCTCAACCTGCTGGGCTCCGGTGATTCTTCTGCCTCAACCTTCCAAGTAGCTGGAACTACAGGCATGCGCTACCACGCCTGGCTAATTTTTTTTTATTTATTGTAGAGATGAAGTCTCGTCAAGTTGCCCAGGTGGTTCTCGAACCCGTGGGCTCAGGCAATCCGCTCACCTCAGCCTCCCAAAGCACAGGCTGAGCCACCGAGCCCGGTCTAGACATCTTTAAAAAAAAAAATCAAAGCATTACATAGCAAAATAACATTGCATTTAGCAGAATTACAACAGTTCCTTGATGTCATATAATATCCAGTTGACAGTCACATTTCCCCACTTGTTCCCAAAGTGTTCTTTAACCGCTGGTTTCCTGAACCAGGATCCAGTTCAGGTAAACCAGGCTATTATGTTTTTGAACTTCTCTAAATCCTGAGCAGCTCCTTGTAGTGACACTGATATGCTGAAGAGTTGAACTGCTTGTCCCTCCAAATGTCCTGCTTCTGGATTTATAGGATTCTTCCTTGTGGGGTCATTTAGCTTATTTCCCTGTGTTTCCTGTAAGAGAAACTCTGATGGGTTTTTTGGTTTTTTGTTGTGTTTTTTTTTTTTTGCGTCGGAGTCTCACTCTGTCACCCAGGCTGGAGTGCAGTGGTATACTGACAGCCACCGCAGCCTCGATCTGCTGGGCTCAGGCCATCCTTCCACCCCATCCTTCCAAGTAGCTGGAACTACAGGCACAAGCCACTATACCCAGCTAACTTTTTTTTTTAATTGTAGAGATGAGGTCTCACCAAGTTGCCCAGGCTGGTCTCAAAGCCCTGTGCTCAAGCAATTCTCTCACCTCAGCCTTCTAAAGTGCTGAGTTTACTGGCGTGAACCACCACGCCCAGCTGATGTGTTTTAAAATCAAAAGTTTTTTTTGTATAAATGTATGGGGTTCAAGTGCAGTTTGGTAACATGCATAGATTGCATAGTGGTCAAGTCAGGGCTTTATGGTATCCATCATTCAAAACGATCTGATGTTTTGATAAGTTCGAAAAGCAGTGTTTGTGGCCAGACTGTATGCGGGGTTCTGCTTCACGCAGAACCCATCAGGAGACACAAATTGTCTGGCTCTTTCCGTGAGTGGTGCTGACTCAGACCCTGGAGTAGCTGAGGACAGCCTTGTGAACACAGGAGTCTGGGTAGTTACACTGGTGCCACATAAAGGTTTGGTTGCAGCCGGGCTTGGTGGCTCAGCCTGTAATCCCGCGCTTTGGGAGGCTGAGGTGAGTGGAGTGCCTGAGCCCGAGGGTTCGAGACCCGCCTAGGCAACTTGGCGAGACCTCGTCTCTACAATAAATAAAAAAATTAGCTGGGCATGGTAGCGCGCGCCTGTCGTTTCAGCTATTCGGAAGGCTGAGGCGGAAGGATCGCCGGAGCCCAGCAGGTCGAGGCTGCGGTGGCCAGGAGCGCCCACTGCACTCCAGTCTGGGTGACAGAGTGAGACTCCAACTCAAAAAAAAAAAAAAGGTTTGGTTGCAGGGAAAGGATGAGGGAGATGGGAGAAGGATGACATTTGGGGAGATGAGAACAGGCCGATCATGAGAAGATAGATGGGAGGGATAGTATGTTTGGGGCAGAGTAGAGACCCAGCTCAGCATGTTTAAGAAACAGAAACACTAGGGCCATTGACCCCAGTGACTGAAGGAGAAGGTGCGAGAGGAAGCCTCTGGAGGGATTTGGACAGGAGAGTGAGATGGCTTAAGGCAGTCCCTTTGGCTGGGTGCTGGAAGCAGAAGCACAAGCCAGGAGCCACGAGGTTGTTGTCATCTTTCAGGCAGTGAGGTCAGGGTAAGTGGTTGGATTTGGGATGTGTCTTGAAAGCAGCACCAGCAGAACTTGCTGATGGATGGCAGGTGGCGGGTGAGGGAGAGAAAGGAATCCCAGGACACTCTGAGGTCTACACCCTCGCCACCTGGCAACTGGTGTTGCCACAAACTGAGATAGGAGTCCTAGGGCAGGTACAGGTTTGGAAGATGGATTCAGGATTCGGCTTTTAGACTCTGTGTTTCTGGCCCAGCAGGGCTTCAGTGGGTACCCTGCCTCCTAGCTAAACCCAGAAGGTGGGATTCGTTTACTGTCTGTGGCTGGCTGGTTTGCCTGGTGAGAGCAAACTCTGTAAAGGTCAAGGTTGAGCTTTAGACGTTGGTTTTGGCTCTGGCCACTGCTCATTCTCCAATTCCTCACTATTCTCTTGCGAAACGACACACAGCTGGTCCAAGAGGGCTAAGTGATGTTGTGATTGACACCTGTAGACAGGTAGCTCAGCGCACTCTCCTAACTGACAGAACTCTGGCTGTCAAACATAAGGCGCACGTTAGATAAAAAGCATTTGTTGAAGCTAGGTACAGTGGCTCACACCTATAATCCCAGTGACTCAGGCAGGTCCCTTGAGGCCAAGAGTTGGAGATTAGCCCAGGCAACACCACGACACCCTGTCTCTGCAGAAAAAATCAAAAAATTAGCCAGGCACGGTGATGTGTGCCTATAGTCCCAGCTATTAGGGAGGCTGAGAGAGAGGATCGCATTTGTTGAGTACTTCCTGAGTGTACAACATACTAGGTTAAATGGAATGCATTTTTCAGATTGCAGTCTAATAGAGACGGCATGCATTTCGTTGCAACCACAACGGTTGTAAGCACTGTGTTATGGTGCTGTAGTAAAAGCCAGGAGAACTCGGAGTAAGAAAGAAGGGCTCAGCCTGTAATCCCGTGCTTTGGTAGGCTGAGGTGAGTGGATTTACCTGAGCCCACGGGCTCGAGACCCACCTGGGCAACTTGGTGAGACCTCATCTCTAAATAAATCAAGGAATTAGCCGGGCGTGGTAGTGCGCGCCTATAGTTCTGGCTATTCGGAGGGCTGAGGCGGAAGGATCGCCAGAGCCCAGCAGGTCGAGGCTGCGGTGGCCGGGAGTGGTGACTGCACTCTAGTCTGGGCAACAGAGTGAGACTCCAACTCAAAAAAAAAAAAAAAAAAAAGAAAGAAAGAAAGAAAGAAGGGCTCACCTGGGGAGGTTGGTGGGTCTGCCCTGCAGGTGAGTTGTGGGTGGGTCTGGAAGTGACAGATATGATTTAGGAAATGGATGGGGATCCCAACCAAGCCCCTCTCTTTTGTCCACTCTGCAGCTGAATGACGGACAGTTCACCGTCATCCAGCTGGTGGGCATGTTGCGAGGCATTGCCTCGGGCATGCGGTACCTGGCTGAGATGAGCTACGTCCACCGAGACCTGGCTGCCCGCAACATCCTGGTCAACAGCAACCTGGTCTGCAAAGTGTCTGACTTTGGCCTTTCCCGATTCCTGGAAGAGAACTCTTCCGACCCCACCTACACAAGCTCTTTGGTAAGGAAGCGGGGTCGAGGGGTGTTGGCTAGGCTCTGAGGGCCAGGTGGAGAGGGTGGGTTGGACAGGCAGGAGGCTGGGGGATCGGTGGTCTGGGCTATGGAGGAGGCAGTCAGCTTAGGGAAACTGACTTCGAGATCTAGGAAAAGCACAGACTGGGGAGTTAGGGGCTTGGGGCCCAAATGAGGAGAAAAAAGCAAAGGGCTGGGGAGGGCCAGTGTGCCTAGGTCCGGGGAATTCCTCAGCTCACCTTTTTCTCCTCCTGCAGGGAGGAAAGATTCCTATCCGATGGACAGCCCCTGAGGCCATAGCCTTCCGGAAATTCACGTCTGCCAGTGATGCCTGGAGTTATGGGATTGTGATGTGGGAGGTGATGTCATTTGGAGAACGGCCATACTGGGACATGAGCAACCAGGACGTAAGTGGCCCATGGTCGTGGCAATCTTTTTTTTTTTTTTTTTTAGTTGGAATCTCTCTTTGTCGCCCAGGCTGGAGTGCAGTGGCACGCTCACGGCCACCACAGCCTCAACCTGCTGGGCTCAGGCGATCCTTCCGCCTCAGCCTTCCTAGTAGCTGGAACTACAGACACACGCCACCATGCCCAGCTAGTTTTTGTGATTTATTGTAGAGACGAGGTTTCACCAAGTTGTCCAGGCTGGTCTCGGACCCCCAGGCTCAGGCAATCCTCTCGCCTCGGCCTCCCAAAGTGCTAGGATGACAGGCTGAGCCACTGCACCCAGCCGGTCATAGCAATCTTTCTTGGTTCCCAGAGAATCATCACTGCTGGGTCCTTGAAATGGTGGGGTTGGAACAAAGATGAGCTGATCTTTGTATCAGATAGTTTGGTACCACATATCTGGGTCCCAAAAGGACACGGAGATGGAGGGCAGGGTTGGGAGGTGATACGTCTAGACCGGAGCCCAAGGGCTGCTGGGGCATCCAGCCACAGAGACCTTTAGCTCCGGCCAGGAAGACTCTGGGGGCTGTGGCTTCTGTCCAGCATCCACTAAGTCACCATTTCCTTGGGACCTTTTGGCATCTTTGTTCTCTCTGGCAGCCTCACCCAGTGCTTCTTGCCTCCTTCCAGGTGATCAATGCCATTGAACAGGACTACCGACTGCCCCCGCCCCCAGACTGCCCCACCTCCCTCCACCAGCTCATGCTGGACTGTTGGCAGAAGGACCGGAATGCCCGGCCCCGCTTCCCCCAGGTGGTCAGCGCCCTCGACAAGATGATCCGGAACCCTGCCAGCCTCAAAATTGTGGCCAGGGAGAATGGCGGGTGAGGACTCCAGAGAATGGGCCCCTCTTCCCACTCTGCCACCACTCGAGAGTCCTCATTCCTCCCCATCTTTGCCCTCCAGGGCCTCGCACCCGCTCCTGGATCAGCGGCAGCCTCACTACTCAGCCTTTGGCTCGGTGGGCGAGTGGCTTCGAGCCATCAAGATGGGAAGATATGAAGAAAGTTTTGCGGCCGCTGGGTTTGGCTCTTTCGAGCTGGTCAGCCAGATCTCTGCCGAGTAAGTGGGGCAGGAGCTGGAGGGGCCGGTGGGGAGAGCAGAGCGGCCAGAGGGCACTGGGAAGAGTGAGTGTGGGGCCAGAGTCAGGCCCACGGGGTTGGCAGGGGCCTTCCGCATCACACTCCGGTGCCAGCTCTGTTTTCTCAGTAGAGCAATGCTTAGGAACCTGTTCGGTGCCGTGCCCAGAGAGCCCCACAGCAGTAACAGGCCCTGGGGCTGAGGACCCGCAGAGCGTCCCCAGCCGCTGCGCCCACCTCCTCTCCTTGGCCATCACAGCCCTGGACCATCTCCCGTCCTGCTGCTCAGTCTGTATCTGCCTTTGCACATCTGTCTACGTTCCAGACCCGGCCCTCCCATGAACCGCGTGTCGGCTCTGTTCTGCTCTCCCAAGCCCATAAAAGGAGAAGATCGGACTAGGTGTCGGAGCTCCTTTCCAGCTTTAATGCTAAATGGTTTTATGATTCCATCGCCTCCCGAATGCTGCTTGTCCCTCTCCGGTTCCGGTTCGCTATGGTCCTCCTCCCTTCCTGCTGTCCAGTTTCTCCCCGAAGTCTCCTCCCACTTCAGGTTGAATAACAAGCAACCTAGCAGGAATACAAGCCGAGCCAGGGGGTCCCTGGCCAGCCTGCCCCGCGGGCCGGAGGCTCTCCTCCCCAAGTTGTCCCGGCCTCTCCTTGACCCAGGGTCCTCCTGTCCCTTCATTTTTTCCTTATCTCACGCTCCAGCTGTCAGCAGCCTTCCCTTCCTCTCCACCCAGCTCTTCCTCTTGTCTTTGGCCTCTTCCCTCTCACTTCTTTCCGCTCCACGGCAGTCTCGCGGGCTCCCTCCTCCCGCCCCCACCTCCCTTTTCTTTTCTTTCTTTCCTGCAAGCCCCCAATCCCCGCCTCTAATCTCATCCCCTACTGCTAATCTCATCCCCTACTGCGGCTGCGCAGAAGCATGGCACTAGCGCCCAAATCCTCCAGAAACTGCCCTGCGACTGTTGACGTCTTCCCCGCTGGCCTTCCTGATTGGTTGGCGATCCTGACGCCTTGGAGGGGCCGGGAGCTTAGCGAGGAGAGCGCCCACGGGCGACCTATAGGCCCCCGGTGGCCTCACCGAGCTCTCTGTTCTTCCACAGAGACCTGCTCCGAATCGGAGTCACTCTGGCGGGACACCAGAAGAAAATCTTGGCCAGTGTCCAGCACATGAAGTCCCAGGCCAAGCCCGGAGTCCCAGGCGGGACAGGAGGACCAACCCCACAGTTCTGACCTACAGGAACTCCCACCCCAGGGGCACCGCCTCCCCTTCTTCCTGGGGCATAGTGGGGACTCACAGGCCCCCTTCCCTGCGCCCTACTGGATTGCACTTTGAACCCATGGAGGTGGGGAGTTGGCAATTTGCAGAGACCGGATTTGGGGGTCTTGCCATATGGGAGTGCAGAGGTCAACCCCCACCCTCTCCTGGGGAACCCCAGACCAAGGGTGAGGGCACCTTTCCCTCAGGACTGGGTGTACCCATAATCTCCCAGCCTTCCCAGAGGGCCCCCTAGGTGCTCCCCTCACCTTGACGGGTGTGCTCCTACAGACCAAAGAGTGGGTGACTAGCCTGCCAGCTCCAAGTGGAGCACTGTCCCAGGAGGCAGGAAGGGGCGCCATGGCCCAGTGACAATATCATTGGACTTTGTCGGCCCAACTTGCTGCTGTCACCACCAAACTCAATCACTTTTCCTTTGTAAATGTTCCTCCCCCAGCTACTGCCTTCATATTGAAGGTTTTTGAGTTTTATTTTTTGGCCTTAATTTTCCTCTCCCCCCCCCACCCCCTTTGTTTTTGTTTTGTTTTTCTACCGTCCTCGTCATAACTTTTTGTGTTGGAGGGCACCTGTTTCACTCTCGCCTCCTTTGCCCAAGTCGAAACAGGGACCCATGGTAGTGTCTGTTTCCAGAACAGTGCCTTGGTCACGCCATATCCCCAGATATTTCCCTGACCCCCAAAGCTGTGTCCGTGAGGGGGTGCAGTGGGAGTGAGGTAGTGAATGGGGCAGTGAGATGAGGGTGGAAGCCAGAGACAGGCACGGGTGCTTGGAGGGGTTCTTAAATTATATTTAAAAAAATAACTTTTTGTATAAATAAAAGAAAACGGGACATGTCCCAGCTTTGGGGGTGGTAGACTGGATTTCTGAGAATGGGGACTGGGTAGGGAGGGCTCTGTGGTGGGCTGGGAGGGGTCAGGGGGCTGGAGAAACAGGCCCGTGGGGCGCTGGGCGCTTGGTTCTCAGCCCCAGGGTGTGTTTGAGGAGGTGAGGTGGGGGCCGTGGGCGATGAGTCATTGGCAGCTGCTTCTAACGCTCCAGCTGGCTCTGCCAAGAGCCCGGGGCACCTCCGGGGTGGGGCTGCCCCCACCCTCCCTTGCCCTGGTTCCTTAGCCACGGCAGGGGGCTTGAGCTCACAGCCCTGCCCTGCAGCCCCCTGAGTTGGAGAAGGAGCACAGGCTGGGGCAGGGGGTGCAGTCAGCCGGAGACAGATGTGAGCCAGATGTTGACAGCTGGGGATGGTTTAGAGACCATGGGGAGAGTGTCTACACTGGCTGTGGGGGAGGGGAGGAGAGTGGGAGTTGGCAGAAGAGGACCCCCCACGTGTG